CGCAGGTCGTCGGGCTACCGAAGCGGAGGTGCCATCCCCTCCGCAGAGGATCAAAATTGTGATGGCATGTCTTCGGATCATCCTCCGGGATGTTTCCCAGACCGTCGCCAATAGCCCATTGTGCAGCTCTAGTGCGACGTAAATTAACAACAACATTTAGAAGCAGCAATTGCTGTTTATTTTTGAAAATGTAATTTTTTTTTCTTGTAGTTTTACAGTGTTGAGCATAATCTTGTATCTATTTACAATTTAAAAACTCCTTGAAAAAAAGTTTTTTGCAATAACAAGACCCTATTTGCACAAATTCATAAAAACAGGACCCTGGTTGAAAGAATGTGACTTAACGTTTATTATATTCACAAATTACGAGTAATTTTTTCACAAATTTACAAAAACGGGCCTTTCACAAAATGTCTGGACAGACAGACCCCTGATTTCACTTTTTTGAGCAATTATTTTTTCCATTGTAGTCCTTTCTTGTAATCTTTGCATTTAGTTTATTTGGTGTGTTGTAAGGAAAACACTTCTAGTTGAATTTGTTCTTTTAATTTGTACACATTCATTTATAAAGTACATCTGTTTATTAGTAAATGCTCATTATAAAAATAAGGAAATATTTGTTGAAAAACATTATTTTCATTCACGTAAAATTTTTTTTTATAACTTTTGTATTCATTACGTAAATTTCTTAATTTATTTTTCGATGTGTTGAAAGTAAATACGTTTTTTTAATTGTAAATTTTAATATTACTATTTTAATTCATTTAAGTTAAAATGAAAGAAAAAGCCTAATATAAATTAAGCACGTGCTGTTTAAATTTAATTTAAATTTGTGGGGTTGATTTCTTACTCATACATCGTTGGCGGACCTTGGCGTCTGATAAGGTTCCGTTGGTCTGTAGTGGGCTGTGTAGATTTTATACTTCTCATTATTTTACTAATTGTTAATCTTAAGAAAATTTCTTGTGAGAAGTGACTATGGAATATTTTCATAGTAGGCTGAAAAATTTTATTCGGATCTTAGCCAAACACTTCGACTACAATAAATACGACTTATACACTTTGTCTACAATAAATATGCTATGAGCCGAAAGCCATGTTCAGGTGACAAAGGGAGAAACTTTGATTTTAGTGCTTTAATTCGGAAATTATAACGTTTAATAGTAGCACTTCATTTTTAAATTTGTTAATGAGTACTACCTTTTTTCAATTTAGATTCAAATATTACGTAAGCACTTTTCACTAATTTTAGAGTCTCTCTTATGTTATCAGAAAATTTTAGAAATTAGTTACCCACTTGATTTTTTTCTAATGGATTTTTTTCAATAAACGAAATTTAATTTTCTTATATCCCCTTCTTAATGAGCATAAGCTAAATGTAAACTCTCGTTTACGTATGTAATCTTTGTTCTGCTTTCCTAAACTGGACGTGGTTGCAGCGGGCAATTTATTAATTTTCTTTAACTTTGTTTTTCGAAGCTATTTCGCCAAGGAAAATGAAAATGCCACAATTTAAATATCTTTCACTTGAAGAGAGAGCAAAACGATGATTTTAAACTATATATATCATATTGCTGTGAAGAATTTTCTGGGCTTTAGAACGGACGAATAACTTTAATTATTTTTGAAGTAATTGAACTTTTTTATAAATCGCCAATTTGGCGACCTAGAAGAAAATTACCAAAATCACTGGCTTGTTCTCAGTTTATGCAAATGTTTATGAGCACAGATAATGCAGCATTTGAATAGGTTTTTAAATATTAAAAAATCATACCAGAAACGCTTTTTATTTTCTTAAAACTGTGAATTTTGTCCATATTGACGTTTAGCGCCATTTGCAGACTAAGCATTGATAGCGCTAGTTTTAGATAGGCTAAATTTGTCCTAACAGTAATGAGTTACTGTAGCAAACTCACAGTAGTTATGAAAATATCATGTTCGCAAAAAAAGCGTTATTCCATCTAACAACAAAGTCTTCGAAAAACAAATTAACTTAAAACATTTCTTACTAAGTTTAATATTTTTTTTTTGGNGGGGGGGGGGATATATTTATGTAATAAGTGTGTGTGCCTCTTTGAAGTTAGTAAAGAAGAATATTGTATTGAAGCTTTATGTTTTACTTCAGAAGATTTTTCCTTTTTTCATTTGGCGTTCTCTCCAGACAAGGTCAGAAAACCCACGCGAATTCCATTTGTCAAAGATGGATGGATGTCTGTCCGACATATCTTTTTTCTCTCGCTCTCTTATTTAGAACAGTTTGGTTTGTGAGATATCAGCGTTTGATTCCGTGGGAATATAAAATAAAGGTTTAACTTGGTCACTGTGTCTGCAATAAAAATTTTATTTACTGTTGTATTAATATAATTTTTTTTTTAAAAAAAGACGCTTACACTTTTACTTATTTTTGATCTTATGATGTGATTTTTAGGCACCGAGATGCTATCTTAATGATTCATCAACTTAATTATTCTATTTCATAATGCAGACGACAATTGTTATTACGAGGTAGGACACAAGCACGTTTTTACACCAAATAATCCGGTTGAAACTTATCATTTCCTTTATGCTACTTTTAGTTTTCTTCAATAATTTCTGGAAACAATTGCGTGATTTTAAAATATTTCAGAATGTAGTTAAGAAACCCATTAGTCGAAAGATAATTTGTTATACAAGAAAAAGAATAAGAACGTGGATTTTCTGAAATTAAAGGTATTGGTCTCCAAACTTTTTTCCCCTAGAGGCGTCATCCACCCCTCCAAGGGTTAAGACCTAATTTGTAAAGACATTATTTAGGTAAGAAGACCATCTTTGACCACCAGCTTAAAGGCATTTAAGAAAAACTATTCATTTTTCACTGTTATATTTATTGTGAGACATTTTGATTCAGTTGCCCATTAGTTCATTCCAACATGTTTTAGTTTTTAACTAATCACAAGTTTTATATCTGAAGTAGCCAGTGGGTTATATATCCATCCTGTCCCTTATTGTAAGTTTTTATGGCAAATTTTTAACTACAAATAAAATGTTCCGTTTCATTATTTTCATCAGTCTTGTTTCATCTAAAAATAAAAAATGTGTATCAATTGTATTTTAAAACTTGCCAAGAACCTAGTCTTGATACATGTCAAGTCTGCTATGCAGTCTGGAATAGAGATGTTGGTGGGGCGTAGTTTAATGACCCCTCTTTGCTTTTAAGATTACGTTAAAGCTACGTAATTTCAACGCTAGATTCAAAAACTAAAATGAAATAAATAAACCACAGCACTGAAAAAGTAGCAAGTCGGATAACACTTTATTTGCTTGAGTCATTGAAAAACTTATTGAGGGTAATGAATTAGAAGAAAATCTTAATGAAAGTTTACAATTAAAAAAATATTGTATTTTGTTATCGATGTTTTTTATTAACAGTGTTCCTTTTTATTTCTAGGGCCCGGAGTGCGCATGGTGCAAAACAACAGTACAGGTCCCTTACCTGTACAGCTGCAGGTTCCTCCTGGACACGTAGTACATCAAGTAGTGGACGAGAATGGAACAGTTCGTCACTATTTACTCTCACCTCCCATGCCATTGCCGGTCGGAGGACACTACGTAAGTTTTTTTCTCATTATATTTTTGAAATCTAAACCTACAGGTGTTCGCATTGTGTCTTTCTTCTCCGAAGTTTGTGATTTAGAAATTTTGCCAAATATAAAGGACGTTAAAATTGAATGAATATTTTATAGACAAATTTGTAAATGAAAATAAATGCCTTTTTTATTATTGTAAATCTTTGGTTGCATTGTAGATCTTACTCTTTGTAAATAGAATGGGCGTCCCAAGGTTACGCGATTTACTCACTCTCCACACTTTCCCCCTCCCTCCGTTACCATGGTTTTGATAAATCTTGCTCCCCCTACCCTCCTCCGCGGCATCTTTTCCAACTTTTACTGAAGCGTACTGTAAAGAAAAGGCAAGATTTTCTGAAATCATGGTTACAGAGACAGGGAGAAAATTGCGTAAGTTTGAGACAGCAGTCAAGGAACCGTTTAGAAGAAATTTGGGTCCGTTGACGGACCCTTCGCAAAATATTTTTTCATAAAAACGGACCCTTCACAAAAGATTTTAACTTAAAAACGGAGCCTTCACAAAATGATTTTTCTTTTAATCGGACCCTTCACAAATTTGTTTATCTTCATTATTGTTTTGTTAATCGAATAAACCCTTCCCAGGGCAGAAAACAAGAAAGATGAATGTAAACGAATTAAGTTTTGTCTTCGGCAGACGATTATTCCATTATTCGTCAGAAATGAATATTCTGCGTTCAGCAGTATAGGCTTAATACCAAATATTTGTCTGTTGCATCTCTAATTTAGAAGAAGCAATTGCTGTTTAGTTTTGAAAGTTTAAATTTTTTTTTAATTGTAATTTTACAGTGCCGAGCATAATCTTGTATCTATTTACAATTTAAAAACTCCTTGAGAGAGGTTTTTGCAATAATCGAACCCTATTTCCACAAATTCACATTAGCAGGACCCTGGTTGAAAGAATGTGAGAAATTTTTTTCATAATTTCGCAAAAACCGGACTTTTCACAAAATATCTGGATAAACCCCTGGCAGTTCTATTTATAAAGAGTATGAAATGAAGAACAGTATAAAACAAAATTAATCTTGAAAATTGTTAGCCTCAGTACCCGTCTTTTTTTAAATCGTATAATAATTTTCCTACAAATTTCAAATATCTCCCTACAAAATTTTTTTCTTTTCCAATTGACATAGAAATTATTATTTGCATAATGAAATGGTTATTTCCCCGTAACAAATTTTTCAAACGTTTAATAATTTCGTCATTTTTGTTAAAAGTTACCTCTCATAAAGACAGTTGGGATAAAAGTCATGTTAAAAGTTACCTCTGGCGTGTGCTTGTTATTGATATTACTCGCATTATTTATTTCTGTCTTGGCGCAAAATATGTGAAGGGCAAAATTTCTGCTTCAAACACTCCTTTCTAATACTTTATTTTTAATCTTTTGAACTTTCATAAATAAGTTTTGTAACATTTACTTAAATTACTGCAAAATATCAATATAGCTGCAAAAATATCAAATATGACGAAATTTCTACTATAGCGAATTTTTCAATTGGGAATTAATCAATTGCGAGATACTTTACTTTTTTTGCTTGAAAACTTAAGAGATTGTCAGCCGATCAATTGTGCAATTTATGGTTGATTTAACAGCAATAAATTAAATCTTGTCTGTGTTTTGTAGATACGCCTATTTACAAACAAAATTTAAGCTTTCAATAAAGGTTTTTTTTTTTAAATTAGGGATGGGCTACTGTGTTAGCCATCGAACATGAACAGTACTTTACATAATTTTTTTTTATTAACAGCAGAAATTTCCAGCAGAATGGAATGTTTCATTGCTGTTTTCTGATTTATAGTAGTCCGAGCTCCCCCTTCTTTTCTTGTTTAAACCATCGGTTCCATTATTATTCTTTGGAGATTAACAGCAACTGTTCTGAAACTGATCAGTCGTTATAACTAATCGCTGTTTTCTAACTAACAGAACTATCTGTTTCTAAGCTGTGTGTCGTTATTTTCGAACTACGGCAACGTTTGTTGCTGCTTGTTCTGATTATTTGCAGCTTAGCTCTTTCATAATTATTTTGTGACTAATAGCAGTAGCTCTACCTTTCGTCTTTAATTTAGAAATTAATTATTATTTTGAGTTATAGCAGTCTTTGAAACTTTAATTTTTTGATTTCAGAGTGCTAGTTCTTTAGTTAAGCAGTCAGTCCTTCGTTACTGTATAATTAATGTCAGCAACTATTCCAGTTCGTCGCTGTTACTAGTAGCAATTGTACCATTGTTATTTTATAATTATGGCGGGCATTTGTTATAAAGTCATAACCATCGTTAACTATAAATAGCTACTAATCCTGTTCGTCAGTATTTCCTTACAAGCAGCAGTTGTTTTTTCTTCATTTTCTGATAGGAAAATAATGATTGATCCATTGTTATATTTCGACAAATATCAGCAACTGTTTCTAAGTTTTTCCATGAAATATTTTTTCCCTATGTCCACCCGATTGACTCTCGTCATTCAGGTATCAGTAGGGCAGATTTGTTGGCCACTCTTTCAGGGGCACCATATCAGGTGGCCCTAAGTTGCACCCACAGTAAGGACAGATAGTATAGAGCAGGGGTGGCGAACCTTTATACACCAACGTGCCATTTTCTCTAAAAAATTGCTTAATGAGGTCATAGACGTGCCGACAAATAATTTTGACTTCGTGATTATTGGGAAAAGAATAATACTAATTACTATCAACTCAAAACTCTTTATTTACATTGAAAAAAAAATACATTTTGCAATGTCTCAGTTATACAAGTAATTCAACTTAAAGTAACATCAATGTGACTTCTGTTGTTGCAGATTAGATGACCAATAACTTATATTAGGTTCTAAGATGTTAGTTTAAGCAGGACTGTTGATTTTTTTTGCTAGTTATTTCTTGTTAGCTTGTTTTTTACGGTTATTAATTTTTTTTTAGCATTAATTTTTAATTTTTTTATTAATAATTGTTTATTATTTTGTTTGTTTTTTGTGAATTTTAATTTAGTTGTTACATATGCTTCATAGCGTAATAACATTTGTGTAATAACAATTCATAGTGTAACAACAATTGTGATCGGTGGAGTGCCCAAAATATCATGTCACGTGCCATAAATGGCACGCGTGCCATTGGTTCGCCATCCCTGGTATAGAGAATGAGACCTTTCTGATGTGAGGTCAGCTCCCTGACCACTACACAGCCCAGTCGGCGATTCCATCGTTATTGTTAATTTAATAATGATCGTTCTCATTGGTCAAAGAATCACGATATAAAACACATATAGTTATTTTCGGACCAATAATGAGCTTAATTTTCAAACTGTTACTAGGATCTATTATTTAGGAACAGTCATAATTTTAATTAACTACCAGAATATGTTACTTAAAATAACTTTAATCCCTTTTCCATTCTTACGCAGTAATGGAATGAATAATTAATCTATGTCATTTTTTGAGATTCAACTGATGAATGGCCTACATTGTGGGAATTAAAAAAACTACCGTGATTGAGGAAAATATTCTCTGAAAAAAAATTCTAACAGCAGGTTCCTAGGAAGGACATAATGGAAATGTTGAAGGCCAAGGTCTTCCGTAGAATATTTATTCAGCAGCTTAACTGGTATTAAATATTGATTTGATTATGAAAACAGATGGTTCACTCAAACAATGAAAAGTCTCTTTCGTCATATGAATTGCTATTTTGCACCTCACGCATGTTCATTTATTTGTTCTAATAACTCTTCTTTCCTTATAACTGGAAAAAAAATCTTCTTTTTGTAAATCTTCTTTTTGTTGGTAATGTAGGTGAGCAGCTTGAAATACAATCGATAATTTTATATTTTCTCTTCCTCTTGACTTTTTTTTTTAAATTGTATTTCAAACATATTTAATGCGATATACGAAATTAAGTTGTATTTATTTGCTGAAAACTGACGTAATTGCTTAAATATTCTAATGTTATAAAGAGGAATAAAAAACGTAAATAGACATTTTCGTTTTATTGAAATAGGAAGAGAGGGAGAATTGATTTTTTTAAAATATACATTCTGAATATTCTGAAGTAGTATGAATACATGTAATAGTATGAATAGTATGTATGCATGTAATAGTATGAATGAATAGTCTGAATATTAAGAACAGTAAAACATTGAATGCTGTGTTATAAACTATAGTATTATAATACATTTTTGCTACATTGTAGTTCCTATATTAATCACGCGCCGAGAAGTATTATGTAAGAACATAACATTTTAACGGGGAGAGGCTTTTTTATTGTTGCTAATGAGGATATGTATATGAGCAATACTTACGTCATCCAGAGGATACAGCACTCGCCTTCCAACGCGATAAACTTGGTTCGAATCCCAGTGGTGGCTGATCGATACGAATTCCGCAACTGGGTTCCAGCGACCGCAGTGCTGACATAAAATATCCTCGGTGGTAGATGGATGGATCATGGGTTAGAGTCCTCTTGCCGTCAAGCTTACCGTGAAATGTTTTCGTAGTTTTCCTCTCCATTTAACGCAAATGCAGGTTAGTTCCATCACAAAGTCTTCCATGAAGGCTAGTTTGTCCCAACGATTGATCCAGGAGTTCCCTTGTCTTCTGGGTTGGGTTTAAAATTATAAGGCTATGAGTTGAACATTGATAATCGTTAACTCAGAATTAAGTCGTCTGTTCAACGTGTGTTTTGAAAAAAATACTTACGTCAGGCACTTTAGTTTGTGTTGAGCACTTATAGGGTAAATATAATTTATTTATGGTACTTTATCATTAAAGAACTAAAAAACTGGGGCGCAAATTTCCTGCCTCTCTAGGCTTATGGGGGCAATCCCAAATTCAAACACATACATCCTGCCTCTTTTCAGAAAACAACTTTATATATATATATATATATTTGAAAGCTATCGTGTTATGCTGCTTTGTATATCTCAGCCTTGAAGACTGCACGCTCGTACCTCAAAAAGCAACTTCGATTTCACCCATAGTGG